TTTAGGGTTTCATAGTTGTACCCAGTTCTGTTCTAGTTCATTCATTCCTGCTGCTAGATTCTGACATGGTTTCAGAGCAGTAGGTCCGTAGAACCGTTTTTTTAGGGCCCACCTACCGTTGCGGTCACCGAGCTACCCAACGGCTTGACCTGCGCTGCGCCGCCTGCGCGCGCCTTGCCCTGCTTTGCTGTGACTGTGACGTGCTGCGCTGCGCGCGCCGTCCTGCAACCCTCGTGCTGCCTGCTGCTGCCCCGCGCGCAGCCCTCACCGCTAGCGCGCTGCCCGCTGCTGCCCCGCACGCTGCTCTAGCTACTCGCGCACCGCCCCGGTAGCTCTCGCGCTGCCCGCTACTGCCCTGCGCGTCGCCCCAGCCACTCGCGCGCCGCCCCAGCAGCCTGCGCGCTGCCCGCTGCTGCCCCGCGCGCCGCCTTACCCGTGCGCGCTACCCTTTACCCGCGCGCTGCGCCCTGCCCGCGTCGCGCTGCCCCGCGCACGCCCTGCCCTGCGTCGCGCTGCCCGCGCACGCCCTGCCCTGCCCCGCGTCGCGCTGCCCCGCGCACGCCCTGCCCTGCGTCGCGCCGCCCCACGCACGCCGTGCCCTGCCCGCGTCACACTGCCCCGCGCACGCCCTGCCCTGCGTCGCGCTGACCGCATACGCCCTGCCCTACCCGTTGCGTCGCCCTAGGACCAGCGCGACGCCCTGCCCTGCCTGTGGCGTCGCCCTAGGGCCCGCACGCTGCCCCTGCCTGCCCGTCGTGTCGCGCCAGGGCCCGCGCGCCGCCCCTGCCTGCCCGCGCGCTGCCCCTTTGCAGCCCGCGCGCCACCCTGCTGGCCGCGCGCAGCCCCTACCTGCCTGTGCGCCGCCCCTCCCTGCCCGCGCGCCGCCCTACTTGCAGCGCACTGCCCTCCTCTGGCCGCGTGCCATCCTTCCCTGACCGTGCGCCGCCTCGCCCTACCCTACGCGCTACCCTAGTGCCCCCTCGTCGCCCTGCCTTTACTGGGTGCTGCCCTGCTGGTCCCAAGCCTCCTTGCGTTGCCCGCTATGCATTCTCTTCGTGGTAGCGGTGGGAGTGGTGGCGGCGGTGGTGGCAGCAGTGGGAGTGGTGGCGGCGGTGGTGGCAGCAGTGGGAGTGGTGGCGGCGACCATAGTTGCAGTCGCGGTGGAGCTGTTCAGTGCGGAGTTTCTGGCGGTGGCCTGATGAAGTTGCAGCGGCGTCCGCGCGAGACCCTTACACCCCAGCAGCTTCGTGAGTGGTACGCTCAGCGTTGTGCATCTCGGAGTGGTGGCGGCGACCATAGTAGCAGTCGTGGTGGAGCTGGTCAGTGCGGAGTTTCTGGCGGTGGCCAGATGCAGCTGCAGCGGCGCCCGCGCGAGACCCTTACGCCCCGGCAGCTGCATGAGTGGTACGCTCAGAGTTGGGGGTGTAGGACTACTGCTCGCTGCCCGTACGTCATTCGCACAGGTGATCGGGCTGGTCAGACCTGCGGGACAGTTAGTCACACAGAGTCCCGCTGCTTCTCCCGTCTGAGCGACGCTTGGCGAGCACGGTTTGGCGACGAGACTGAGCTACCCCTCTGGCTAGAGCTGCTTCGAGACGGAGTAGATATATTTGCTCTAGACTATGACACTATCCTTACTGCCATGTATGCTCTGACTGGTAGTACTGAGGGTGACTGTTACCTGTGTGTGCCCCCTGACCCTGGTATAGCAGCTGCTGCTCTAGGTGCTAGTGAGTCTGCTCTCTCTGGTACTGCGCCTGCTGAGGCCTTGCACACCTTCACGCTTGACTCAGGTGCTTCCCGCTGTTTCTTTCGTGACAGTACCACAGTCACTCCCCTCCCTGCACCTGTCCCTGTCTCACTGGCTGACCCCTCTGGGGGCCCAGTGCTTGCTCGTTCCTCCACTGTGCTCCCGTGTCCGGCGGTCCTGTCCGGTGAACTGTCAGGTTTCCACATTCCCTCGTTCTCTACGAACCTGGTGAGCAACGCCGTCCTTCAGGATCATTGGGTTGACACCTTTACTCCTGGAGGACAGCGTGTGGCGATCTGCACGTGCTCTCGGACTAGCCGCCACCTGGCCACGTTCACGCGTGAGCCAGGGTCCAGTCTGTACACCCTCACCACTGTGTCGCGCTACGCCCCTTTGTCTCCTCAGCTGTACGCGTCCGCTGAAGTAGCTATCCAGTGTGAGTGTCGCCGCCTGTTGCACCAACTTCTCCTTTGGCACCACCACCTTGGTCACCCCTCCCTGCCTTGCCTTCGTGGCATGCACTCTCGCTCCCTGGTCTCTGGTCTTCCCAGGTCTCTGCCTTCCCTCCCACCCTCGCCTGCCCCGCCCTGCATTCCTTGCATCGAGGGGCGGCAGCGCGCCGCTCCTCACTCCTCCTCGTTCCCTCCGACAGAGGCTCCTCTGCAGACTCTCCACCTGGACGTGTGGGGCCCAGCCCGCGTCCAGGGGCAGGGCCGCGAGCGGTACTTCCTGCTGGTCGTCGACGACTACACGCGCTACACCACGGTCTTCCCCTTGCGCACCAAGGGTGAGGTCCCTACTGTTTTGATCCCTTGGATCCGCGCTGTTCGTCTCCAGCTCCGCGAGCGGTTCCACTCGGACTTTCCTGTCCTGAGTCTGCAGTTTGACAGAGGTGGTGATTTCTCCCCCGACCTCTTGCAGGCCTTCTGTCAGGAGGAGGGCATCCTCCAGTCGTTCACGCTTCCGGCCTCTCCACAGCAGAATGGGGTTGCTGAGCGCCACATTGGCTTAGTCATGGAGGTCGCTCATACCTCCATGATCCATGCGGCTGCTCCCCATTTTCTGTGGCCGTTTGCGGTCCGGTACGCCGCGCATCAGCTCAACCTCTGGCCCCGTGTCTCCTTGCCGGAGACCTCGCCCACACTGCGTTGGACGGGAGAGGTTGGCGATGCGTCGCGTTTCCAGGTCTGGGGTGCTCGTGCCTTTGTCCGTGATACCACCGCGGACAAGCTCTCCGCTCGCGCCATTTTCTGCGTCTTCTTTGGCTTTACCCCTTACGCGCCTGGCTGGCAGTTTTACGACCCCGCCTCGCGCCGTGTCTTTGCGTCTCAGGACGTCACCTTTGATGAGTCGGTCCCCTTTTACCGTCTCTTTCCCTACCGCACTGCCCCCCCCCCCGCCGCTCTTTCTCGCTCCAGGTCCCCCCCAGGTAGACCCCCTCCCCCCTCCAGGTCCTGCTCCTTCAGGTGTGTCTCAGGTAGACCCTCCTCCCTTGACTGAGCCTGTTGAGGTCACTGGTGACTCAGGTCCTGCTGGGGGTGGTCCTGCTCGGGGTGCTGCTTCTGGGGGTGCTGAGCCTGGGGGTGCGGAGCCTGGGGGTGCTGAGCCTGGGGGTACGGAGCCTGGGGGTGCTGAGCCTGAGCGTGAGGAGCCTGGGGGTGAGGAGCCTGGGGGTGCTGAGCCTGGGGGTGCTGCGCCTGAGGGTACTGAGGCTGCTGGTGAGCGGTCTCCTTGGAGTGGCCGCCTACGTAGTCGCACCACTGGTGCCTCGCCGCTGCACTCTCGTCGGCGTGAGCCTCTCTCCCCACAGCAGCTGCGTGAGTGGTACGTTAGCCGTCAGGGTCGCGCTGCTGGAGCTGGGGGCCCTACTGCGGGAGGTGCTGGCGTGGAGGGCGGAGTGAGGTTGTCCTCACTGGGCACTCAGACGCTTCTTGGGTTGACGACCTGGCTACGCAGCGGTCGTCACAGGGTTACACTTTCAGCCTTGGCTCCGGCTCTGTTTCTTGGCGGTCTACTCGCTCGTCTTCTGTTCTCAGCTCCAGTTGTAAGGCTGAGATCTACGCCACAGCCATGGCTGCTCAGGAGTTACGCTGGCTCACCTACCTGCTGACCGACTTGGGAGAGAGGCCTCGTTCTCCTCCAGTTCTGTGCACAACAAGGCCGCCATTGCCTTGTGTCAGGAGCACAAACTGGAGCACCGGAAGCGAAGCACATCGCTCTGCGTTACTTCCTGGCTCGAGAGTTGCAGCAGCGTGGTCAGCTTCGTCTCACTCACGTGGACACTCGGGCCAACACTGCTGATATATTCACCAAGGCACTTCCGTCTGGTGATCATCAGCGTCTGTGTACTCTGTTAGGCCTGGTGCCAGTTTCGTCTCACTTGCTCACTTCGTGACTTTGCTTGTACTGTGATTTATACACATGTACTTGCATGCTTGCTCTTGCTAGGTAGTGATCACTGTACTGTTGTTGTTGTTCATATACACCTGCATGTGAACTGGCCTTCTGGCCCTTTGCTTGTGCTCAGAGAGTGTGGTGACGTTGTGATCCACCCTGGGCTTGCTTTGCTTTTCTTGACTGGTCTTGTGACCCCTTGCTCTCCCCCACTTTGCCTATGGGGGTGTGTCAAATTATATGCATGTTATATATGTGTAGGCTGTAGTGGGGTAGCCAATATGGGGTATAGCCCCTTTAGGGTTTCATATTTGTTCCAAACTCTGTCTTAGGGCGTATCCATGTTCGGGTCATGAGTACTGTTCCGGGCATCCGCAATTTGCGGATGACCCAAACAACATAAAACGCCACTTTGGGTCCTCCGAACTCATGCGACCCCCAAAGAGCCGCGAGGGCTTTCGCGCCAAAATCACGCTCCTCACAACAGTCGCATCCAATGGAAGGATGCCTAAACAGTTCGAAAGATGCTTAGCGAAACCACGCGAAACCCACCGTAAAATCACAATCGTCAAAATTCCCGGTGTGAATCCCCAAATGTTGGGAGCGCGATGCGGGAAATTTTAGACACACTCATGGTCACTGGGGTCAATTTGCCGAGTGGTTGGGTGCAGAGGTGTAAGGCGTGGGACATTGCCCACATGTGACATTCGACTAACGATCGCCAAAAAATTGCAGTAAATACAGAATCGTGCAGCCAGGTGATTGGTTGGGGGTGGGTCGTGCACGTCAGTCGTCCAACACCTGCACACTGAACCAAAGCTGGGGCCGCGCGCGGCTCGGCAGCCCACTTCGGGTCATGCGCAAATTCCGCATGACCCAAACAGTAGCCAGAACAGTGCTCATGACCCGAACATGGATACGCCCTTAGTTCATTTCATTCCTGCTAGTCTTTCTGACACGTGTAACTACCCTTTTTTTTTGTGAGGAACCTGTTTTTGAGGCAAATCTCTCGAGTGGCACTTTGATGTGATTGGTTGGCAAATCACACGGGCTAGGTTAGGTGTTCCTATATCGATTTTTACGGGGGTTTTAAGCGTTTACAATTTTAGCTCGGGAACCTGCCTAGGGCCCTAGACCTATCCGCAGTGCGAGTGAGGGGTCCACTGAACAAGGCTGCTGTGCCCAACCTTTTGCCGCAATGCCGCAGGAAGGACTGAGTGAAGCTCACAAATAAGCGACTACGAAAGACCTAATTACCAGCAGCGACGCGTAAAGTGTAACTACACGTAGGGGCTGGAATCGGCAAGACCAACAGCGGGGGGAAGAAATAGTCGCTGGTGAGTTCCTACACATGTACAATTATTCTTCCCCACAAAAACGACCATCATTCGAGCTACGAATCTGGTACGGAAGGAAGGTTTTGTCCATTGCGGCCCCGCGCCCGCCAGGTCCCCTTCAGCTGCCCTGCCGCTTTGCGTTCTGACGGGCCGCGGCGTTGCATTCTTCCAGCCCGCCGTGTTGCATACGGCGGGCCCGCCGTAATCTTTACAAAAGGGTCTCGACGGGTAGCATTCGGCGAGCTCGCCGCGTTGCAGTCGTTACATTCGGCGACCAGCCGCCTCCCCAACTTCTGGTCCGCCGAGTTGACATTTCGGTCAGCTCAACGCGTTGCATGCGTTGGCCGCGCGTGCCAGCTTCTCAGCTCACGCAAAAAGCGGTGCCTTCTCGCTGCTTACCCCTCGCACTTTCTCGCTCCCATCCCCCTTGCACCTCTGCATCATCGCTGCTCATTCCCGTCCGCGTCTCCGAGCCGCGCCGCGGCTCACTCCAGTCCGCGCCTCTCGCGTTAACGCTGCAGCCCCCAGTCCGTGCCACGCCTGTCGATTGCGGCTCACACCCGACCGCCACTCGCGCGAAATCAGCCCTCACCCCCCTGCTTGCCCTCACCCCCCTGCTAGCCCTCACTCCCCTGCTAGCCCTCATTTCTTCCCTGTCTTGCCCACGCATTCTCTGATGCTTCCCCTCGTATTCCCCCCCTCCTCACCCCCATTTTCTCCCCTGCTTCCCCTCAGTTTCCCCTCTCCTTCCCTAGTTTCCCCCTCTGCCATTTCCTCACTTCTCCCTCTGCTTCCCCTCATTTCCCCCTCTGCTTCCCTCCATTTCCCCCTCTGCTTCCTATCATACCCCCCTCTTCTTCCCCTCGTTTTAGCATCTCCCCTCCCTGCCTTCGCATCTCCCCATCCTAAGGGCTCAACTCCCTCACACAAGGAGCCACGTCCGCCAAGGCAAACACACTGCCATCGCCCACGGAATTGCCATTCCTACTCCAGCCAGGTGAGTCAGCCTTTATCCTCCCTTCCCTGCGCTGCCCTGCCCTTCACTCACTGCCCTTCCCTCCCTGCCCTGCCCTTCCCCCACTGCCCTTCCCTCTCGGCCCTGCCCTTCCCTCACTGCCCTGCCTTCCCATGTTCCGAAATCCATGATGCCATCACTTCATGATAAACCCCGTTCTCTTCCTTCCAATCTCCCTACCATGCCTCCCATCTCCAATCCCTTCTTTCTCACCCCCCCACCTTTCTTTATCAACTCACTCACCTCCCATGCAATCTCATCTTCCCGCCATTCCTTCACGCCTCGCCGCCCTTTTATCCCATTTTCCCTCACTTCTCGTCCCTTGTTTGTCGACTCCACCTTGTCGCGCTCCGAGAGCCCGAGATTTCATGACTAGCGGGCCCGCTGCTGCACCATTCGTCGCGCCAGCGTTGACTCGTCTTGCCTTATCTTCCTTACTCTTTCATTCCCCATCCCTTTCGGCGTATTACCGCCCATTGTTTTCTTCCCCAGCCATGTCTCCTCCAACCCCATTGCTTCCCTTCTGTCCCCCATGCTAGCCCCTTGTTTCCCCTATGCTAGCCCCTTCTGTCCCCCATGCTAGCCCCTTGTTTCCCCTATCTAGCCCCTTCTGTCCCCCATGCTAGCCCCTTGATTCCCCCCTGCCAATCCCTTGTTTCCCGCTGCTACCCCTTGTCTCCCCATCTCTCTCCCCCTTCCCTTTCCATCCCTGCCTGCTGTCGACCCCCTCCTCCCCCCACCATCCCTCCCACCTACTGCTTTCCTCTTCCCACCTGCATAGGTACCATTCCCCCCATAAGGGCCTTCAGTTTCCTCTGTTTACGCTCGCCTGCTCCCTTGCCGGCAGGGCGAGCGAGCGCATGGAGGCGTATCCTGGGTCGCGCCACCCGCTGCACCCCCGCCTGCACTCCGAAACCACCCTACGCGCCCCCGCCTCCAACCACCAATGGCGGCCCTTAGTTCCGCCGTCTCGCTATCAGCTTCTCCGGTATTCTGTATCGCTACGGCTGTCCCGGCTACCCGGTCGGCAGAGTGGGAGCGTCCCGCAGAGCCGCAGTCACTCCAGCCGGCTCGTCGCCGCCACGAGCGACGGAGAACCGAATGGAATTGCTGCGAACGATGCAGATAATATGGGGGATAAGGGTGCAGGGAGGAGTGAGAAGGCGGAGAGCGCGGAGCTGGCGGGCATCCTGGCGCGCGTTCACGAGGAGATGGCGCAAGCCACCCGCGCCCACGCGGACGGGCGCGTGTCAGCCCTGCGGAGCATGGGGCGCGAAGGCGACGGGGAGAGCGCAGCGGGCGAGCAGCTTCTGCTGGAGCTGCTGCAGACGGAGGAGCAGCGGCGCATGCGCGCGCCGGGGGACGCGGAGGAGGCGGAGGAAGAGGCGGGGTTTTGGGGAGGAAGCGACGGCACGCAAGGTGGAAAGGAGTACAGGTGGGTGCGAAGAAGGGCGAAAGCGAGTTGAGGCGAGTAACGTCGCTATGCGTCAACCAATACTGGCCAAGTACCATGTACGATCCTCCCAATGCCCCTCGTTCCACGCACTCCTCTTTTGCTCTGCCCGTGCTCTTGTGCCCCCATGTCCTTCCCCCCATGTCCTTCCCCTCTTTTCCCGCTGCCTGCAGCCTGCCCCCATCCTTCTCCGCTCTTGCCACTGGCTCGTCCGCGGTCTCCCCCGCGGCTTCTGCAGCGCCTGCTGCCGCTGGCGGCGATGGGGGGAGTGATGAGAGCAGGGGCGCGCGGATCGAGGGGGGAGGTGAGGGCGCGGGTCAGCACGAGACGCGGCAGGAGCAGGGGGAGGGGGCGGGTGGCGAGGAAGGGGCGGAGGGGCGGGGGAGGGGGAGAAGGAGGTGCCGGAGGGGTCAGTGGTGCGGGAGCAGCTGGGGGGCCGCCCAGAGCTGTGGCGCGGCGTGCACGTGGCCGGAGCCAAGTGGGCGGGCGCGGGCGCGGGGGTAGCGCAAGGGGAGGGCGCTGGGCTAAGGCGAGGGGAGAGACCGGGGGAAGAAGGAGGGGGGCGGGCTGCGGCAGGGCAGAGCGGGGGGGTAGAGGCAGGGGCGAGCAGCGGGACGTACCTGCAGGCGCGCAAGCTGCTGTCGAACATGGCCAGGAGCATGGAGCAGCTGGAGAGTGGGCTGTCCGCCCGCCACAAGGTGCGCCTCTCCGCCCCACAAGGTGCGCCTCTCCGCCCCACAAGGTGCGCCTCTCCGCCCGCCACAAGGTGCGCCTCTCCTCTCCGCCCGCCACAGGGCACCTGTGGAAGGCACCATGCTCGGCCGTCATGCTGGCCCGGTAGTTGCAATGTAACAGCAGAGCCTGCATGCTTGTCCCGTTACCATACACACACACACACGCATCACACGCACAGACACACTCACCCCCACACCTACTCTCCCCCCCATGCGTGGCATGGCATGGCATGGCATGGCATGGCGTGGCATGGCATGGCATGGCGTGGCATGGCATGGCATGGCGTGGCATGGCATGGCGTGGCGTGGCGTGGCGTGGCGTGGCGTGGCGTGGCATGGCGTGGCATGGCATGGCATGGCGTGGCGTGGCGTGGCGTGGCGTGGCGTGGCGTGGCGTGGCGTGGCGTGGCGTGGCGTGGCGTGGCGTGGCGTGGCGTGGCGTGGCGTGGCGTGGCGTGGCGTGGCATGGCATGGCGTGGCGTGGCGTGGCATGGCATGGCATGGCATGGCATAGCATGGTGGGCTGGCAGGAGATGGGCGAGTCAACGCAGTTCATCACGGGCATCCGCTCCAGCGACCCCGCTGCCGCCCAGGTGGGCGCCAGTTCACGTGGGTGGGTGGGAGGGCACGTGGGTGGGTGGGAGGGCACGTGGGTGGGTGGGAGGGCACGTGGGTGGGTGGGAGGGCACGTGGGTGGGTGGGAGGGCACGTGGGTGGGTGGGAGGGCACGTGGGTGGCAGGGCGTGTGGGTGGGTGGCAGGGCGTGTGGGTGGGGCTATCCGTGGGTGGTGGGGTGCGGGGATGGGGTTGGTGTGCCTGATGCTGTGCAATGTATGCTGTGCTCCTAATGTATGCTGACAGCACAGCAGCATTGGTGGCGCCGGCAGCGTGCAGGGGTCACTGGAGGGAGCAGCAGGTTGGGCGTGGTAGCAGTGCGCTTGCACCCCGCTTGTGGCATTGCCCTCTCATTGCGTGAGGCAGCATGCGATTGGAGAACTTACTACCGCGTACGTGTGCTCTCTGCTGTGCATGGGCATGGCATGGGAATGGGAATGGGAACGTATGGGCATGGCATGGGTGGGCATGGCATGGCATGGCATGGCATGGCAGGGCGCAGTGGTGCGGAGGGCGGAGGAGATGGTGGCGCGCATGCAGGTGCAGTTCGCAGCCATGGAGAAGGAGGCCGCCCACAAAGACACCGTGCTCGCCCGCCTGCTGGCGCACGCCAAGTCCACCAAGCAGGTGCGCCCTTTGAGTCCAAGCAGGTGCGCCCTTTGGGTCCAAGCAGGTGCGCCCTTTGAGTCCAAGCAGGTGCGCCCTTTGGGTCCAAGCAGGTGCGCCCTTTGAGTCCAAGCAGGTGCGCCCTTCATCATGCCACCTGCTCCCTCTGCCCTTGTCCCATGGCTCCCTTGCTCCCTCCTGTGCTTTCCTTTCTCCTCTCCCAACTTCCTCGCCTCACTTTCTTCTCTTCATTCCTGCTTTCCACTCAGATGCTTTCTTCCTGCCTCTGCGTGTGTGTGTGTGTGTGTGTGCGTGCGTGCGTGCGTGCGTGTGTGTGTGCGTGTGTGTGTGTGCGTGTGTGTGTGTGTGTGCATGTGTGTGCATGCGTGCATGTGTGTGCATGCGTGCATGCGTGCACACTCGTGTACGTGCCTGGGCGGCGAGCAGCAAATGAGGGCGGTGGAGGAGCGGTCGCGAGTGGAGAAGGATGAGCTCAGGCGGGAGATGACGGAGCAGCAGCAGCGCATGCAGAAGGTACGCCACCACATTGCCTGCTCCACCACACGCACTGCACCGTACTCTACCGCATTCAACATCCATACCCTTACAGCTCTCACCGTGTCCTTCCGTCACCGCCCACCATCTACTGTCCCCCTCACTCACTTCCTCTTTCGCCCTCTTACCCGTATCCCCTGCCTCTCCCACATCCCCCCTCCCCCTTTCCTCTCCCCCACACCACCCCACCACCCCTCGGACCCACCTGGGCGGGCGTGCGTGCGAGCGGGCAGGAGCTGGAGTCGGCGGCGGGGAGGGAGGAGCGGATGAGGCGGCAGCTGATGGAGGCGCAGGAGGGCATCGCGCACAGAGACGCCTTCCTGCAGCAGCTGCAGGAGGAGGCCGCGCTCTCCGCTTCCGCGCTCAAACAGGCCGCCAGGGTGGGTGGGCTGGGGGGGGAAGGCCGCTGCGTTTCACCTCACAAGGGTTGTGCTGTGCCGGCTGGTGTCAGATGGGATGTGGTGGGGTGGGGTGGGGTGGGCAGTGGTGGCGCGGGTAGGAAATGACAGAGTGCGGGCATGTTCCAGCAGCAGTGCATATTTCTCCATGCCTTACGCCCTGCTTCCCTGCCACTCTTCATCCCCGGTCCCTGCTTTCCTGTGGTGCCGTGCCCGTGTGTGCGGGGCGGGCGAGCAGGCGATGGTGGCGGCGCGGGACCGCACGTTGAGGATAGAGGAGCAGCTGGAGTCGATGGGCGACCAGCTCACCAAGGAGCGCGCCAAGACCCGCCGCGAGCGCGAAAACACCGCCCGTGTTACTGCTGTATGTGCACCGCCCTGCCCTGCCCTGCCCTGCCGCGTGTGATAAGTCAACTTGTGAGTCGATGGGCGACCAGCTCGCCAAGGAGCGCGCCAAGACCCGCCGCGAGCGCGAAAACGCCGCCCGTGTTACTGCTGTATGTGCACTGCCCTGCCCTGCCCTGCCCTGCCGCGTGTGATAAGTCAACTTGTGAGTCGATGGGCGACCAGCTCGCCAAGGAGCGCGCCAAGACCCGCCGCGAGCGCGAGAACACCGAGCGTGTCACTGCTGTACGTCCACTGCACTGCTGCGCATTCTGCATTGGCATTGCCTACCACCGCTCCTGATTCCCTCGTGTTCCATTTCTCCACGCTTCCCGCGTTGCAAATTCATCCTCTGCCACACCCCACCTTCTCCTTCTCTCTCTCCCCCCGCCCCACCTTCTCCCCCTTTCTCTCCCCCCACCCCCCCTCCTCCCCGGCGATGTGTGGGCGGCGTGGGCCGGGCACTGACAGGAGCTGGCGGAGGCGCGCATGGCAGTGGAGGAGATGGCGGGGCGGGTGGGGCGGCTGGAGAGCGAGGTGCAGCGCAAGGAGCAAGAGATGCAGCAAAGTCGCCAGGAGGCGGACGCTGTCAGGGCGCAGCTTAAAGCCACCCAGCAGGTCAGGGCGCAGCTTAAAGCCACCCAGCAGGTCAGGGCGCAGCTTAAAGCCACCCAGCAGGTCAGAGCGCAGCTTAAAGCCACCCAGCAGGTCAGGGCGCAGCTTAAAGCCACCCAGCAGGTCAGGGCGCAGCTCAAAGCCACCCAGCAGGTAGGCAGAGCGAGCGGCCGTGGAGGGGCGAGCAAGGGAGTCACTTGGTGCGTGAGTGGGTGTGTGTGTGTGGGGAGGGATTGAGTGAGGGTGTCAACCTGTTTATCCTGGGACGAGCTCTCTCCTGCCCCACTGTCTTGCTGCCCGTCACATCATCTCAACCTCTCCTCCCCTCTGTTCCGTGGTTCCCTGCCCCAGGCACTGGAGGAGGCAGCGCAGCAGGCGAGGGAGGCGCAGGCAGGGAGGCAGCAGGCAGAGGCGGTGGCTGAGGAGGAGAGGGCGGCGGCAGCAGCGGCGGTGGAGGGGCAGCAGAGCGCAGAGCAGCGCCTGAGGGAGGCGCAGGCGCGCGTGCAGCTGCTGGAGGGCGAGGTGGTGTCGCTCAAGGTGGGGCGAGGTGGGAGGGCGGGGAGAGAGTGGGGTTTGATGAGATCCTCGAGGTGGAGTGGAAGTGCCGTGTGGGCTGTTGGGGTGTGCTGGAGGTGCATGAAGAGCACGTGGTTGGCTTGAAGAGCACGTGGTTGGCTTGAAGAGCACGTGGTTGGCTTGGAGAGCACGTGGTTGGCTTGGAGAGCACGTGGTTGGCTTGGAGAGCACGTGGTTGGCTTGAAGAGCACGTGGTTGGCTTGAAGAGCACGTGGCTGGCTCAATTGATGAAGCACATACATGATGGGGTTGTGCTTGTTAACACCCCTGGCCTGTACAGCCCTTTCATCCACCAGTGGTACTCGCTACCCTCTCTCTCTCTCTCCCCACCCCTCTCCCCTCTCTACCTCGCATCCTTGTGCTCCCGTGCGGTGTGTGACGCGTGTGTGGGCGGGCAGGAGGTGGCGGCAAGCAAGGACTCGCTGCTGGCGGCGGTGAAGGAGGAGACGATGCGCAACGCGGACATGCTGCTGGCTGCTGCCAACACTCGCAAGGTCAGACCGTGCTGCCAACACTCGCAAGGTCAGACCGTGCTGCCAACACTCGCAAGGTCAGACCGTGCTGCCAACACTCGCAAGGTCAGACCGTGCTGCCAACACTCGCAAGGTCAGACCGTGCTGCCAACACTCGCAAGGTCAGACCGTGCTGCCAACACTCGCAAGGTCAGACCGTGCTGCCAACACTCGCAAGGTCAGACATGGCATCAACCTTGTCTTGTCTGGCCCACTCCACCACCCCGCCATTCAACCGTACACTCTCTATCCTCCCCCTTCCCCTCTTCCCCCTTTCCCCATGCCCCCATCCCCCCCTGTCGGTGCGGCATGGGAAGGGCAGGAGTTGGCGGGGGCGGAGGCGCGGATAGCAGCGCTGCAGGGGTCGGTGGCGGCACTGGAGGCGGAGGTGAGGCAGCAGGACCAGCTGCTCAGCGACATCCGCGCTGACGCTGTCTCCAGTGCTGACGCCCTGCGCACCGCTGCTCAGATCAACCAGGTGGGCGGTGGAATGGCTCGTAAGGTGAACGGCGTTAGGGTTGAAACTGGGGAGGCTAGGTTAGGTTGATGGACGGGGCAAGGGGAAGAAGCGATGAGACACGAGTGAGTGGCCCAGTAGGCATGGCATGGACTACGAGTGGTCATGTGCCTAGCACGGTGGTGCTCACCCCTTGCACCACATGTGCCTAGCACGCTGGTGCTCACCCCTTGCACCACATGTGCCTCCCCATGCCTGTCCCCCTCCCACCGTGGTGGTGGTGGCATGGCAGGACCTGAATGCAGCGAGGGAGCGCGAGGCGGAGCTGTTGGAGCAGCTGGAGCAGCGCGAGGCCGAGGTGGAGAGCCTGCGCCGCGACACCTCTGAGAACATCCGCGCACAGCGCGCTGAGCTCGTGAGTCAAGAACAGAGGGGGAAGGGGGTGGGGTTGCTTTTCTCGTGAGTCATTGGAGGGCAGCGCGCTGAGCTGGTGAGTTAAGAACAAGGGGGGGAGGGTTGCTTTGCTCCGAGGGCGCAGCTGGGGCGGAGGTGGTGAGAGTGGGGTTGCTGAGGGGGCGGGGGTGGAGGGCGCAAGGGCGGAGCTGATGCTTGTGCACCACCCCCATTACCTCCTCGCTGCTTCACTCCTCTTCCCTCGCTTCCTGTATGCCTCTTTTCCAGCACTAAACCACCAATTCCCTCCCTTTCCCCCTCTCCCCCCGTCCCCTCCCCCGTTTTCGTGTGTGGCGTGAGTGGCGGGAGGCAGGCGCTGCGCGAGGCGGAGAGTCGGGCGCGGGAGCTGGAGATGGAGAGGGAGTCGCTGCTTCACCCCCACTCTCCCCACCCCCACAAAACCACCTCTCTCCCCACCCCCACAAAACCACCTCTCTCCCCACCCCCACAAAACCACCTCTCTCCCCACCCCCACAAAACCACCTCTCTCCCCACCCCCACAAAACCACCTCTCTCCCCACCCCCACAAAACCACCTCTCTCCCCACCCCCACAAAACCACCTCTCTCCCCACCCCCACAAAACCACCTCTCTCCCCACCCCCACAAACCTCCTCTCTCCCCACCCCCACAAACCTCCTCTCTCCCCACCTCCTTCCTTCAGGCGCTGCGCGAGGCGGAGAGGCGGGCGCGGGAGCTGGAGATGGAGAGGGAGTCGCTGCGGCGGGGCGTGGCGAAGCGCGACCAGGCGCTGGGGCTCATGAAGAGGGAGCTCGAGCGCAGCGCACACATGCTCTCCGCCGCTGCTGACACCCGCCAGGTGAGGCGCTGCTCACGTCACACTCGCCGGCTGCTCTTTTCAGGTAGACGATCTTGTGGAGCAACAACTGTGCTGTGACTGAGGGGATTTCTTTGCAGTGTGCCGCCCTTGCCCTCCCTTGCCATGGGATACCAACCACCCTCATGCACTCCCATTGAGCCCTCATGCACTCCCATTGTGCCCTCATGCACTCCCATTGTGCCCTCATGCACTCCCATTGAGCCCTCATGCACTCCCATTGTGCCCTCATGCACTCCCATTGTGCCCTCATGCACTCCCATTGTGCCCTCATGCACTCCCATTGTGCCCTCATGCACTCCCATTGTGCCCTCATGCACTCCCATTGTGCCCTCATGCACTCCCATTGTGCCCTCATGCACTCCCATTGTGCCCTCATGCACTCCCATTGTGCCCTCATGCACTCCCATTGTGCCCTCATGCACTCCCATTGTGCCCTCATGCACTCCCATTGTGCCCTCATGCACTCCCATTGTGCCCTCATGCACTCCCATTGTGCCCTCATGCACTCCCATTGTGCCCTCATGCACTCCCATTGTGCCCTCATGCACTCCCGTTGTGCCCTCATGCACTCCCGTTGTGCCCTCATGCACTCCCGTTGTGCCCTCATGCACTCCCATTGTGCCCTCATGCACTCCCATTGTGCCCTCATGCACTCCCATTGTGCCCTCATGCACTCCCATTGTGCCCTCATGCACTCCCATTGTGCCCTCATGCACTCCCATTGTGCCCTCATGCACTCCCATTGTGCCCTCATGCACTCCCATTGTGCCCTCATGCACTCCCATTGTGCCCTCATGCACTCCCATTGTGCCCTCATGCACTCCCATTGTGCCCTCATGCACTCCCATTGTGCCCTCATGCACTCCCATTGTGCCCTCATGCACTCCCATTGTGCCCTCATGCACTCCCATTGTGCCCTCATGCACTCCCATTGTGCCCTCATGCACTCCCATTGTGCCCTCATGCACTCCCATTGTGCCCTCATGCACTCCCATTGTGCCCTCATGCACTCCCATTGTGCCCTCATGCACTCCCATTGTGCCCTCATGCACTCCCATTGTGCCCTCATGCACTCCCATTGTGCCCTCATGCACTCCCATTGTGCCCTCATGCACTCCCATTGAGCCCGCGTGAACGGCAGGCGCTGCGGAGCATGAAGGAGCAGATGGAGTGGATGCAGGAGGAGGCGCGCGTCAAGGAGGAGCGCCTGGCGGCGCTGCAGGAGGAGTTCGTCTCCGCCCTCAAAGGCACCACCTTCCCATCGCTGGTACACGCCTGTTTCGTGCACGCATGCATGTGTGCACCTTTGTTATCCTTAGGTGCTTCTCCTCGTATGTGGATGTGCAATGATTTTGCTTTTTTCGTAAACCTCGCTTCGCCAGTGCTCATTCCTTTTTTGAACTGACATGATTCATGCAGGACAAGAGCATTCTAAAGCGAAGAAAGCTGCCGCCACAAGGGAAGTCGTTTGGAGGAGATGCGCAACCCGAATCACCTGCCTGATAGCAACACCTACCTCCTTGTCAATGGAGTGCCCGTAGCAGCAACTGTATAAAGCATGGAGATTGCTCGGTTCCTGAGTCTGTATGCCAAACGTTTGTTACGAATAAAGAAATGTGAAAGGGTACTCTACATTCATGGCAGTAGCAAGAACGAGAAATCCAGAAGCGAGTACGAAGGCGAAAGATCAGAAGCGACGCAAACGGTTGCGAAATATCTGGACCGTCAGAGCGGACAGCATCAGGCAGCTGCAGGAGCGAGGATTTTGGAGGGAACATTTTTGTAACTGTCCAACGCCGCACGGTTAAGTTTGAATTCGAATAAGGCCATGTGATTCCACTTCATTCCATGTGTGCAAGATACGGTTTGAGTGTTTCAACTCTGCCTGGTACGCTCCCAACATCTGCACATACCGACCACCCTGAACAATGCAATAAACTGGCCATTGGATGCCCTTTGTATTAGGTTAGATTACTATATTACCGTATTCTCCCGGACATAACACCCTAGGGTAGATTTAAAAATACAGGGAAAAAAAGGGGGGTGTCTTCTCATAGGAAAAAGCTACATAATACCCGGGTGCATATATATGGTGTCAGAATCCCAGCCACTAACCACTGGGATAAAAGGGCTTGTTTGTGTAGCGGGTGAGTGCGCCCATAACCCCCCAGGCCGACGTGCCTGTAACCCTCCCCTAGGATCAATCGGGGATCACCAGTGGACCTCTGACACCCCCCCGCACTGGGATGCCCGAGGCGCACACACCGGGATTCGAACCCGAAACCTTCGCTCTGAAAACATGTCAGAATCCCAGCCACTAACCACTGGGATAAAAGGGCTTGTTTGTGTAGCGGGTGAGTGCGCCCATAACCCCCCAGGCCGACGTGCCTGTAACCCTCCCCTAGGATCAATCGGGGATCACCAGTGGACCTCTGACATATGGTATATTTTAGTGTTAGAGTTTTTATTATTAGACAATTTGAGTGTTTCCATGGGCTTTTTGATATCACATGTTGAGGCGCGAATGTGAGTTTCGACGCCAACGTCATCACCCCCTCGAAAAGGTCATTTGGCACCTCTCTGGCCACCTGCAGCGGAAGATTCGCCAGCACGTGGCAACAGCGAAATAGTGGGCGGGGGGGAATCTCGGCAGATTTGATGTGAAAGAACCGGGAAATTTCATCGAGCGAGGGATTTTCGCGATATACTCCCGTACTTGCACCTACTCGTTAAGAGCTATAATATAGAATCTGTAAGAAAAGGGGGGTGTTATAAAAAATCATCCAAAAAGGGGGGTATAGTGAAATCGAGGTCGCCCATAGCACCCACCCCGCACAAGCTACCCGGGGGTGCTCTATCATGGGGGGGTGTTTTGTCCGGGAGAATACGGTATACTATTTTCTACCTATGTGCCACATGATTCCATTACGGTAATTCCATACTGTCATCACCCGAATATAAGACACTGTTGAATTAAAGACAGGGGGTGTCTATTATCTGGGTGTCTTTTATAAACGGGGTAGCCTCTTTGTAAGACACCAATTTGCGTGTATGAGTTAAGCTTGTGTAGGGGTTAGGGGCAATTGTATAACGAGGGGGTATCTTCTAAACTGTTCTGTATCCATTTATAAGACTAATTAGACACCCTAGATCGTCCCGAATACAAGACAACCCAAGAATGTTTGCTTGCCCGTGTACGAGATAAGACATATATGTCTTATATCCGGGCGATAACGGTATATTTTGCAAGATACGAGCGTATCAACTCTGCCTGGTACGCTCCATACATGTGCACATGCCGACCACCCTGATCAATGCATTAATCACTGGCCATACGAATTGGATGCCCTTTCTAATAGGTTAGACCATTAAATTAGACTAATTTCTACATACGTGCCATGCAGGGCCTCAGATTTCAGTAACAAAAGGCTGATTTGGGTAAAAAGGCCGAGAGATTTCAGACTTATTCGAGAGTCAGTGCTGATCTTTCAGAAATTTTCAAAAAAAATGTAGGAAAATCTATTAGATTTCTAGTGTGAAGTAACATAAAATGACATATTTGTCTGATTTTCAACCTAACATTTTGTACAAACTCTTATTAATCAGACTAGCCCGAAACCAATCTGAGGCCATAGTGCCATGTGATCCATTTCATTCCATGTATTTTGGGCCGGCAAGAGCATTGCATCACACGAGGGTGGCCGGCAAGAGCATTGCAGCGCATGAGCATGGCCAGCAAGAGCATTGCAGCGCGCGAGCGTGGCCGGCAATGACGGCTGTGTCTGCCGACAAATGGTAACGAAGCGCATGAATCCCTATAGGCGTAGGGAAAAGCATCAAACGACCTGAATGTTGTTGCATATTTGGGTGGCTTATATTCAAATAGACCCACCAGAGCATTTCAGCTTGGTTCGTGCGCACAGAAAAGTTCGGCGCATGCGATGACGGCTGTGTGTGCCGACAAATGGTAACGAAGCGCATGGATTTCTTTAGGAGTAGGGAAAAACATCGAACGACATGACTGTTGTTGCATAGTTGGGTGGCCCATGTTCAAATATACCTACCAGAGGAATTTCAGTTTGGTTCGTGCGCACAGAATAGTTTGGCGCCCGACAAATGGTAACAAAGCTCACGGATCCCTATAGGCATAGGGAAGAGCATCGAAGGACCTGAATGTTATTGCATATTCGAGTGGCCCATATTCAAATACACCTACAAGAGCAATTCCAAGCTCAGAAAAGTTCGGCGTCTGCGATGATGGCTGTGTGTGCCGACAAATGGTAATGAAGCGCATGAATCCCTGTAGGCGTAGCAAAAGCATCGAACGACCAGAATGTTGTTGCATACTTTGGTGGCCCATGTCCAAATACACCTACCAAAGCAATTTCAGCTTGGATCGTACGCACAGAAAAGTTCGGTGCCGGCGATGACGGCTGTGTCTGCCGACAAATGGTAACGAAGAACATGGATCCCTAAAGGCCTAGGGAAAAGCATCGAACAACATGAATGTTGTCGCATATTCGGGTGGCTCAAGTTCAAATACACATACCACAACAATTTCAGCTTGGTTCGTGCGCACAGAAAGTTCCGCGTCGGCGATGATGGTTGTGTGTGCCGACAAATGGTAACGAAGCGCATGGATCCCTATAAGCGTAGTGAAAAGCATCGAACGACCTAGACGTTGTTGCTTATTTTAATGGCCCATGTTCAAATACACCCAGCAGAGTAATTTCAGCTTGGTTCGTGCATACAGAGAAGTTCGGCACCAGCGATGACGGCTTTGTGTGCTGACAAATGGTAACGAAGTGAATGGTTCCCTATAGGCGTAGAGAAAAGCATTGAACGACCTGAATGTTGTTGAATGTTTTGGTGGCCCATGCTCAAATACACCTACCAGAGCAATTTTAACTTGGTTCGTGCGCACAGAAAAATTCGGCGCCGACGATGACAGCGGTGTGTGCCGACAAATGGTAACGAAGCGCATGGATCCCTATAGACTTAGGGAAAAGCATCGAAAAACCTGAATGTTGTTGCATATTTTGGTGGCCCAAGTTCAAACACACCTACTAGAGCGATTTCAACTTGGTTCGTGCGCACAGAAAGGTTCGGCGCTCTCGATGACGGTTGTGTCTGCCGACAAATGGTAATGAAGCGCATGAATCCTTATAGGCGTAGGGAAAAGCATCGGACGACCAGAATGTTGTTGCATATTTGGGTGGCCCATATTTAAATACGCCTACCAGAGTAATTTTATCTTGGTTCGTGCGCACAGAAAAGTTCGGCGCCTGCGATGACGGCTGTGTCTGCCGACAAATGGTAACGAAGCGCATAAATCCCTATAGGCGAAACGAAAAGCATCGAAAGACCTGAATGTTGTTGCATATTCTGGTGGCCCTTGTTCAAATACACCTACCAAAGCAAATTCAGCATGGTTTCTGGGCATAGAAAAGTTCGGCTCCTGCGATGACGGCTGTGTGTGCCGACAAATGGTAACGAAGCGCATGGATCCCTATAGGCGTAGGGAAAAGCATCGAGCGACCTGAATATTGTTGCATATTTTGGTGGCCCATGTTAAAATACACATACCAGAGCAATTTCAGCTTGGTTCGTGCGCACAGAAAAGTTCGGCGCCGATGATGACGGCGGTGTGTGCCGACAAATGGTAACGGAGAGCTTGGATCCCTATAAGCGTAGGGAAAGGCATCGAACGATCTGAATGTTGTTGCACATTTTAGTGGTCCATGTTCAAATACACCTACTAGAGCAATTTCAGCTTGGTTCGTGCGCACAGAAAAGTTCAGCGTCTACGATGACGGCTGTGTCTGCCGACAAATGGTAACAAAGCGCATGGATCTTTGTAGGAGTAGGAAAAAGCATCGAACAACATGAATGCTGTTGCATGTTCGGGCCCATGTTCAAATACACCTACCAGAGCAAATTCAGCATGGTACCCCCTCAGACCTTGCATATCGATCTCGACTTCAAACACGCACAGGCTCGACTACCCCACCCCTCATAGTAAGCCCATCGAGGACGTTTTTAGCCATATTTTCGTGAAAACGGGATCGAATCCACATTAGTATAGAAAATTGCGAATCAGACGACGATTTTTGCACTCGATCCTACTCATTGTATCGATCTCGGCTTCAAACGCGCATAGGCTCGATTACCCCACCCCTCACAGTAAGCCCATCCAAAGCGTATTTAGCCATATTTTCGTGAAAACGGGATCGAATCCGCACCGGTATAGTAAAATGCAAATCAGACGAGGATTTTTGCACTCGATCCTACTCATTGTACCCCTCCAGACCTTGCATATCGATCTCGGCTTCAAACGCGCACAGGCTCGACTACCCCACCCCTCACAGTTAGCCCATCCAGGGCGTTTTTAGCCATACTTTCATGAAAACAGGATCGAATCCGCAACGGTATGGAAAATTGTGAAATACGCAGGGATTTTTGCAATTGATCCTACTCATTGTACCCCTCCAGACCTTGCATAT